TCGCGCCCGGCTTCGCGCCCGGCTTCGCGCCCGGCTTCGCGCCCGGCCTGCTGGGCCTGCCGTGTTCGAGCGCTGGATCCGGTGCGAGGGTTGTTGGTGCATGGAGCCCTAACCTTCAAAGACCATTTTTCAAAAACTGGACAAGACCCGGTTTGCCAGCCTAGAATCCTTGGGTAGAACAATGGTTCCCTTCTTATAAGGACCATCCCAGGGTAGAGGGAGCGAGTTCCCCCAGGAATCGTACCAGTCTGGAGTTGCGAATCGTACCAGTCTGGAGTTGCTGTTCTAAGTTCTAAGTGCTGTGGCTAGGACCCGCGACACTTTGTTCCTGCAGATGCCCTCAGGTGCAGACCTGGAAGCACTTGCTGCAATCATGTGCTGAGAAGTATCGCTGCTGGTGAGTTTGGAACCAGAATCCTTGCCAATTCTCATGTTTTACGTCCCCTTTGCTTCGGGCATCCGGCATTGCACAAGACCAACAAAGCCTCAAGAAGCCATATTATGATGATTATGAGGCCGTGGAACTCCTTCCAACCACCGAGCGGTCTCATTTTTTCAATTGCAGGTCACTGAAACAAACAGTCACTTGGATTTGCTGAAGGAATGGAGAACAAAACGCCTGCCCACTCCCACACATTATACTCACGGCAAAAGGCGGGATTCGGATTCACCCAGGAACCGTGAAAAGAACAATCACCATCAATCCGCCAAAACCAAGGTCCCGACCTCACATCCTGAAGTTCGGCGCATGTGTTACTTGGACCCTCCCGTCCCCGTCTGTTAACACCAGTTGACACCAGGCTCCCTGGCTGCCCTCCTCTGGCTCCTCCGGCTCGATCGGCCGTAGTGGAAGCCGAAGAAGTCCCAAGACACCAAAATTGTAAAAGAAGAACGGCGCCACATTGGATATGGTATACCCACATATGGATTCTGGTATGTCTGGTATGGTATGTCCCCGCCACATTGACGAAAAAATGCCACATCACATACCAAACACCCGGCTCTACGGTTTTGGTCTCCCCTGGTAGCTTTTGGATGCTGAAGACTAAGTGACTATAGGAGTTGCAAGTGGTGACCAGTTGGAAGGTGCCGGTGCGAGTACAAACCAAACTAACACCAACATACACCAACAGACCACTTCACCAACCGTTTCGGCACATCCGCAAGACCGGGATCCCGAAATTGGGAAGTCTGTGAGGGGAGTTGGTACCCGCCAATCCCCAACACTCCATGCATGGAGCATCCAATGCGTGTCCAATGGACCATTGGACACCCATTGGATATTCCTGGTACTCTCTCTAAAAGCTTCTTGGGGTCAATTCGATGTAGGCATATTATACTCCACACATGGAGTGTCACGAACTTCTAGCCCACGAACTTCTAGTGCCATGAATCTACTCCCGTTTTGTTTGTTGTGCTCCACGCACACTCCCACTCCACAACCAAAAGGTTTTCTGTCCAACTGTGATCGTTACCTGCCAAAATGGGAGCAAAAGTGAGTGACCTGTGACACGATGCACCGACCCAGAGAAACTCATTGGACTTTGACCGCGTTGACCTGAATCGCCTGAGTCATCAGCAGTCAGGTCCGGGCGGGCCCAAATTCACAAGACTTGGTCCTTCGTGTTCTCAGCAGGTGATGGGCTCGGTGGTTGGTAGTGCTGGAGGGCCGCAAAGACCTCCTAGCAGCATCACTGCTCATGAAAGCAAGCCGGGAAACCACCTGAAAGCTGGAATTTGAGGATGTCCCCATCCTCCGACATAGGATGCAACCATGTTCAGGGTTCAAAGCAGTGGCTCTGCCATTGACCGTGAAATTCTATTGGAGGTGTGCCCTCACTAGAAACAGGAGGGTTAGCATCTATTCTATCGTTCACAACCGCTTATTGAGGAGTGTCAGCAAACAACCACCCAGTGCGTCTGGTCCGTCAAAAAATAAGCTCAGGCTGGCTCTCGTCTCCACTAATGTTGACATAGGATTAAGGAACCACCCCGTATTAATTAATCAATGCCAGCTCGACCCCCCCAATACTAAACTAATTAAAAACCTAGATTTCCACCTTGGCATCCCCCTAATAATCTTGTCCTGGGCAGAAACCTCCCCTTATTAATCAATCCCAGCTGCCCCCAAAATAGTAAAACTGTCGTTTACTATTTATTTAATATATTTATATAGTTATTCTATGTTATTTTCTTTTAGCTAGTCTCGAATATCTTCTGGTCTATGGTGAAGCTGATCTTCTGACCCACCCTTGTCTCATACCATCTCTTGAGAGATAACATTCTGATCCACCCTCACCACAAATAGCCGCAGCTTCCACCTCCCATTCCTCATCCTCCATGCTCTGATATGCAATGATCCAATTGGCGTGGCTCTCTGATCAATCCTATCTGATCTCTTATCAAACTTGTGCCAATACACTCAGAGCTCTCATGGTTCTCATGGTTCAAACTCTCTTCTCCTCATGTCCCATACACTCAACCATCATCATCCCTCATCAGGTCCAGGTCCTCATCTCATCATCCATCATCAGGTCATCACCTTTATTAGGGGGATGTCCTCCTCAATACCTCAAATCTCAAACCTTGTTCAC